GCTCTCAGAAGTAGGCTGGCAGTTTTGAAGGTGAAGACATAATGACAGAAGAAACAAAAAGCTTAAATAAAAACTATTAAATTGAAGCAAGTTGTTAATTGCTTTTTTACTCCTGCAAAGGATTTATGAGACTAGGTTTCAAAACATTTACAGGTCAGTTTTACCAATCTTTCAAGGGCCATACCATCTCAGTTTTGTAGCATTTTCTCTGTGTTATGTGCTGTCTATACTCATACCTGACCCTCCAGCAGGTTTTCAGAGGCTGTAAATTAATAAGGGAGGAGCGTGCCCATCTCTCTCCTGCAGAGCAGCTGTGAATTCCAGCTACCTGCCTTTGGGTTAGCAGTGCAACTCCTTACCACTAGGCCAATGGAAAACACTCCATAATCATTCTGTGAGGCCAGCATAACCCAGACAGTCAGACTAGGCAAAACATAGTAGAGGGAAATTGCGCTCATTTATCGTAATGTATACTTGAAGAATGAAAACCAGAGAAGGGAAAAGTATATTACCCCAAACCTTGCATTTATTACAGGTTTACAAAGAAAAAGTACATTACCCAAAAGTTGCACTGATTACAGGAATGCAAGGATTTAGTATTAGAAGATCCATAAATGAAATGAAAAATCCACCACTTTAAAAGACTAAAGAAATGATAATTTCAATACAGAAGAACCATTTTATAGAACAGTCATCTGTGAAGTACTCTTTGTTATTGAAGAACAAAGAGTTGTTCAGTGTTATTGAAATACTCTTTGTTCTTCCTTGGAGAGAGACATAATGCTTGCAAAGGCAGAAGGTTAGTGAAGGAGAGGAAGACCCTAAACCAGATAGATTAACACAGTGACTGCTGCAGTGGCCTCTAGCGTGTCAGATGTATGAGGATGGCACAGGATAGAACAGGGTTCAGATCTGTTGTTCATTGTGTTGCTGTGGGTCATAGTTAGCTCGATAGTGGCACCTAACAGCAACAAAAACATTGAAGAACAGCGGGAACTCCCTTAAGCTTATGAAAGCTAAAATTGATTTCTGTGAAATTAGAATAGATTCATAACTGACCCTCCTGTGAATTTTCACAGGCTGTAAGTGATGTGAGAGGAGATTGCTCATCTTTCTCCCATCTAGAAACTGGTGGGTTTGGACTACCAGAGAGGCACGGCTTCTGGATTAGCAGCACAATAGCTCTCTGTGGACTACAGCACCAGAGCTCCATAAGCATACAAAGAGTTGAGCAAACTATATGTATGGAGGGGAAATAGAAGCACTCCTTTTTAAATCTGAGACAAAGGTGCCTGATGTTTTTATGAGTATTCATCATTGTGTTTGAAAGTCTTGAGGAGTAAAGTAAGACAATTAGAAGAAATCAGCACAAGAGCAGTAGTGGGGAAATAAAATTCTGCTTTCAATGTGATACTTTATTAGAAATAATTGGTAAGTTTAGTAAGATAACTGAATATTGTTGTGTACCATCAAGTTGGAATATTAAATTAATTAAAGTCATCTGTGTTTCTGTGTATCTACAGAAATCACTGAAAACTAAAGGGAAGGCATCAGTAGTAATTCTAAAATATTTTGATTTTTGTTTGTTTTGTTGTTGTTGTGTACTGTTTAATCAGATCCTACTGCACAGGAGGATATTGCCTCGGATGGCAGCACAGTTTCTTGCCATTAGGCCACCAGAACTCCCTTAATTCTAGAATAGAATCAAATCTAGTACAAATGTTGTGCTTCTCTTTTGAGAAAAAGATAAGACTTTATTAAGAGATATTAATAAAGGGTTATATCAAATGGATATATTATAAAATGACTTGTGTTTTTCTTAGATACTGTCGAGTCAAGCACAACTCATAGCAACCCTTTTCTGTGCCACCCTTGTTGTCTGTGACATACGTGATCCCATTGCTGCAATCACTGTGCCAATCCATCTGATTGAGGATCTTCCTCTTTTTCACTGGCCCTCCATCTTTCCTAGTATATCTCTCTCCAAGGAATAACCTTTCCTAGCGTCAGGCCCAAAGTATGTGAGATGAAGCTTTGTCATCTTTGCCTCCAAGGAGCACTCTGACTGTACTCACCAAGATATATCTTGTAATAGGTCTTTTTTTCAAGATACGTATTGTCAGAAGGAGGTAGTTTGGGAAAAGTCATCATGCTGGAAAAGGCAGCGGGTCAGTGAAAAAGGAAGACCTTCAGAGAGATGTATTACCTGCTACTGCTCATAGTGACCATGTGATCAAATTAGAACCTTGCCCTGTCCTGTGCCATCCTCATGTTCTCTGTCATGCTCAGGCCAGTGTTGTGGAGCATCTCTTTTTTTTGGATGTTTTTTCTGCAGCATAATGTCTTCCTTCTGAACTGACCCCTTCTGACACTATGTCCCAAAATATGTTAGACAATTTCTCTAATGATTACCCTGATTTCACTTTTTCCAAGACAGATTTGTTTCTTCTCTTGGCAGTCCATTTTTTGTGTGCCACTTAGTCGCATCTGACTCATAGCTGACCCTCCAGTGGGGTTTCAGAGGCAGTAAATTGCATGGGAAGAGATTGTCCATCCTTCTCCCAGAAACCATCTGGTGGATTTGAGCCATGTGCCTTTGGGATCACAGTACGGCTTCCACCAGAACTCCCTTTTAGCAGTCCATGTTGAGTGTACCATCAAGTTAGAATCAACCCATAGCTGACCCTCCAACAGGTTTTGAGAGGCAGTTAATCACATGGGATATTGCCCCACCTGTCTCCTATAGGACAGCAAGTGGACTTGAACTACATACCCTTGCCTTGGCAGCACAATTGCTTGCCACTAAACCACCAGAGCTTCCTTTGGGAGTCGGTAGTATATTCAATACCCTTTGCCAACACAATTCAAAGGCTACGATTCTTCCTTACGTCATGGAAGGAAAGTGTCATTGAGTAAAGCCAAAGGAGAGGAGAATATGAACTAGAGGTAAGGGTGAAAGGAAGAAAGGCTTTACAAAGTTAATAACACTCTGTTTGAGAGAGATAGCTTGGATTAGTGTGGTAATGGGATGTAGTAGTCTAGTGATGGAGCGTGATGAGAAGTAATT